CCTTTGGTGGTGTAAATTATTATATATGCCTGAGTGTTTAAAAAAAGAGCTAAAATGAATAGAGAGAAGTACTGTTAACTGATGATACATAGAGGGGGTTATAATCATTGCAATGAAACAAGGTGTATGATTTGTTGAATGTAAAACTGATGATCTGCCTTGTAAACTTTCACTCAATTCACAATAAAAAAAAAAAAAAAAAAAGAATTTCTCATATCTTGCATGACATTAGACTGTTTGACCACACTAAACCCATCACTGGTATCAGTTACTCATATACTTCGTAATTATACTATAAAGTTTATGTAAACTTTCCACTTTTATATGTTTCATGAATTGCTCAGTAGGTTAATAGATGATTATATAGAGAAGAATCAAATGGAATAGAGATAGGTATCTCAAGATTACTGGAGAATTTACTCCGTGCATTGTCTGCACAATGTACTATAACATTTCAATGACTACATACAATTTATTTGAAAATGACACCAACGCAGTAGGGTATTACTGAGTAAGCAGAGACTGATTACAAATATTTAACAGAGAAAATCTGAGAGAACCAAACCTCACTGAAGCACTGTTGTTGTTAAGGGCCATCAAGTCAGTTCCAACTCATTGTTGTTGTTGTTGTTAAGTGCCATCGAGTCGGGTCCGACCCATAGCGACCCTGTACAGGGTTTCCGAGGATGTAAATCTTTACGGGAGTAGAAAGCCTCATCTTTCTCCCGCGGAGCGGCTGGTAGTTTCGAACCGCTGACCTTAAGGTTCGCAGCCCGATTCGTAACCACTACGCTACCAGAGCTCCAACTCATAGCGACCCTTTATAGGGTTTCTGAGGAGCAGCTGGTATATTTGAACCACCAACCTTGTGGTTCAAATCAACCTTGTAGTCCTGTACTTATCCTACAGCACCACACTGGGACTCCCAACGAAGCAGAGATACTTGAAATGCCAGGGCTATCATTGGATCTCCTTAATAAAAGTTTTTAGAAATATGACTTCATATGATTGCCACCCTTTCTATTTTTAAGGTGTTTTCAGCCCAGGGATGAACACTTCTATATGTGGTAATGGTGACATGCGGAAATGTTTGGGGGGGGGGGGGTTGCCTATTGTTTTTCTTTCTCTGACACACTCCTAAGGGCCCATTGTAGAATTGCTCTGAACTGCTTTTGTTAATATTTCTTTTTCTAATCCATGCTTTATTCCCCACTGTGCACCTAAAATATGAGATCTCCAAGGTTCTTAGAACTCCTAGAAACTGAATTTTTATCTTAATATGTAGTGGCATTTCAAGACAGATATATATATTCCTGTGCTATTCCATCAATATCCCATCCTATGTCATAACACAGGAAGCTATTTGGCAATACACACACACATAAATAAGGTCCTGCTCATTGCTCTAACCTCACATAACTCCTCATTAGCTCCACTCTGCCATCTCAAATTTGCCTTGCCATATTATCCCCACTTCTATCAAGGTTATTTTGCTCTTTCTCTTAATATATGCAAGTGCATCTGGCCTGTTATTACTTACCTAGCGTTAGTTTTTATTCTAGTGTTTGCCCCTACAACTGTTTAATTTTTTGTGTGTTTTTTTGCATAGACTAGACTTGGTCTTTTGTTGTTAGGTGCTGAGTCGGTACCGACTTATAACGACCTTATGCACAGCAGAACAAAACACTGCTTGATCCTGGTCCTACTTCCCTTAAATTCAAGCTTGTTTATAATTAGGTGCAGGCCATCTGCCGACCTCATTATGCATTCTTGTAAGTCTCGCCTAAGTGTATCGCTATTGAGAGACATAGTGTTTTATCACAAAGTATTCTTTACGTCCTTCCTTTTTTTTAAAAAAAAAAAAGTTAACTTTTTTGTGTTTTAAAAAAATGATGTATGTAGATTGATCTTATCTAAGAACTTCAATTCAGGATGCAGTTGTTGTTGTTGCTAAGTGCCGTCGAGTCAGTTCCAACCCATAACAATCCTGTAGAGGTTTTCCAAGGAACAACTGGTGAGCTTGAACCACCAACCTTTCAGTTCAAACCAACTTTGCAATCTAGCACATTAACCCACAGCGCCACATCAGGATGTAGAGGACCTTACAAGAGGGCATTTTGGGTTCCATGGTATCGACAACCACTGCCCTTCTACAAGAGAAGGAACTTCAGAAGTGATTTTTGCCTGTTGCCCTGGAGTTGATTCTGACTCATGGTGCCTTCATGTGTGTCCGAGTAGAACTGCACTCCATAGGATTTTCAGAGGCAGAGTTTTCAGAAGTAGAACACCAGGTCTTTCTTCCAAGGTGCCTCTGGGTAAACTGAAATCTCCATTCTTTTGCTTAGCAGCTGAGCATGTTAAACCTGTGCACTACCCAAGGACTCCAGAAACTATCAGCCGACTCTATGGCACTTAACCACAACAAAATGGGAGAGTTCACCTATTGTGTGGCACTGTAGGATAAGCACTGTACTGCTAACTACAAGGTCAGGAACTCAAAACCACCAGCAGCTCCTTGGAAACCCTAAGTGGCCCAAAGGCACTTAACAACAACGTCTATACAAGTGGTGGGTAAACTAGAACCAGGCCCCTTGAACCATCCAGCCCTACTCCTAGCTTAAATTCAGGACCTCATTTTCCAGAGTTCTATCTCACAGTCCAAGTTGGACAACACTGGGGGAAAAGAGGTCAAGGTTCTTGAGTCTTCCCTGTGTGGTTTTCCTGGAGATTTTATCTAGGCTGACTCTCCCAGGTTTTACTCAGTTGCTTATCGCCCCCTAGCGTCTAGAATATGTATCACTGCCAACGAGTCGATGCCGACTCAGGACCCTGGCACGGGTGGGGAACGTCTGGCCCTCCGTCCGTATTGTTGTTCTTAAGTGTCATTGAGTCAGTTCCGACTCATAGAGGCTCTTTACAGGGTTTCCAAGGAGCAGCTAGTGACTTTAAACCTCCGACTTCGCAGTTCAAACTGACCTTAAGTCTAGTGCTAGATGGTTAAAAAAAAAAAAAAAAAAAAGTCTAGTGCTTATCCCACAGTGCCACAAAGACCCACTAAATCATTTGGTCTGGCCCTGCCAAGGCAACTGCATTTCCAACCATCACATTGTAGTTAAGTTCCTACAAGTCTGGACCCTTTGTAGGGTTTCTGAGAAGTGGCTGGTAAGCTTGAACAGCTAACCTTGCAATTCACACTGACCTTGCAGTCCAGCGCATTAACCTGCAGCGCCACACCAGGGCTCCAGCCATCCCATTGGTAGTGGTGATGCACCAAGGAGTCGTTTCCAACTCATATCCACAGAAAGCTTTATCTTTCTTACGCAGATCAGCTGGTAGTTTCTAACTGCTGACCCTGAGGTTAGCAGCCTGACTTGCAACCACTACCAGACTGGTGCCTCGCATTGGTGGTGGTGGTGGTTATGTGCCGTGGAGTCGGTTCTAACTCATAGAGAGGGTACCCTGTTCAGAATTTTGGAGCCTGTAAATCTTGATGGGAGCAGAAAGCCTCATCTTTCTCCTGCGGAACAGCTGGTAGTTTAGAACTGCTGAACTTGAAGTTAGCAGCCCAATTTGTAACCACTAAAGGAGCTCTGGTAGCGTAGTGGTTACGAATCGGGCTGCGAACCTTAAGGTCAGCGGTTTGAAACTACCAGCCGCTCTGCGGGAGAAAGATGAGGCTTTCTACTCCCGTAAAGATTTACACCCTCGGAAACCCTGTATAGGGTCGCTATGGGTCAGAACCGACTCGACGGCACTTAACAACAACAACAACAACATGTTACCATAGCTCCTCAGCTATCACACTGTTGTTGTTGTGTGCCATTGAGTCAATTCTGACCCATAGCAACCCTGTATAGGGTTTCCAAGGAGCAGCTGGAGAGCTTGAACCACCGACCCTACGATTGAAACCAACCCTGCAATCTAGCGCATTAACCCGCAGCGCCACACCAGGACTCCTAGTCATCACATTGTTGTTGTTGTCAAGTTCCGTCGAGTCAATTCCGGATGAGTTAATTAAATGTTTGACCAAATACAGCAGGCTAATTTTTAAGTTGATAATTTCATATGGCTAGCAAATGTTGATATAAATTTTGGCAGAAAAAAGCTTCCCCACCCCTGCCAGGGTTTCCGAGAGGCTGTAAATCTTTATAGGAGCAGAAAGTCTCTTTCTCACATGCAGCATCTGGTAGGTTTGAACTGCTGACCTTATTGTTAGCAGTCTGGTACTAGTATGAGGCAAACAAATTACTTTCAAAATGAATTTAGTGCATTTTCAAAGAGATACATAGATTCTAATTCCTCCCATCCCTTCCACCAGATCAACTAAGGTACCTGAGTCCCCCTGGGACCCTAATCCCTGGAGATTACAGTCCAACTTTTATAACTATATTATTGTTAAGTGTCATTGAGTTGGTTCCGACTCATAGCGACCCTGTATAGGGTTTCTGAAGAACAACTGGTGAGCTTAAACCAATGACCTTTCAGTTCAAACCGACCTTGCAGTCTAGCACATTAGCCCACAGCTCCACACCAGGAACTGAAGGGGTGGTAGAAAGGGTCAGGTGGGCGTTGACTCCTCAGGCAGGTGGGGTGTGTGGGGAGGGGCAGAGCTCTCTAGGAAAAGCCAGGTGAAAGGAGCCTGTGACTTTGAACAGCCCCAGAGCAGAAAGCCTCCTCTGAGTAGAGAAACGGAAAAATTCACTGTTGTCAATCAATTCTGACTCCCAGACACCGTGTAGGACACAGTAGGATGGTCCCATCAGGTTCCCAAGGCTGTCAATCATGAATGAAGGACACTGACTGACATGTTGCTTCCTAGGAGCCGCTGGTGGATTCAAATTGCCCTTTGGTTAGCAGCCGAGCGCTTTAAGCACGGCACCACCAAAGCTCCTTAGAGGCCTGGAGGGGAAGTTAATGATTGACTAAAGCCTCATTTCACAATTTACCAAGGGTCAGCTTGCCAGCAGCATGTACAAACTCGGTGCGCGCTACTTCTCACCACTGCCAGCTTCCATCAGGAAGGCCCCCCAAGGCTGACTGCAGCATGATCTCCATCACCGAATGGCAGAGTGAGTGTGAGGGACCTGAATCAAAGTGCCGCAGAGGGGGCTGGGCTGGATTCGGGGGTCCAGGCCAGTGGAAGGCCAATACAGGTCTGCCCATCTGGGATTATGAAATGGTCAGGGGGTGCCCTAGGAGTGTGACCTCTGGAGCCAGAGACTGGGACTTGCTGTGTTGGCACCCTGAGGCTGCTGGGTGTGGTTCCCTGCCGTCCAGTGGGTGGAGGTTGTTCAGGGCGTGTTTGGTATAGTCAAACTGATCTCTTCCCATTCAGAATTTTCAGAACTGGGAGCTCCAGTGCTGCCAAGGTGGGCTCAGCAGGTCTCTGCCATTCAAACATCTTCCTTCCCAAATCCTGAAGGTGTCCTGTGGCTCTGGACCCCTTCTTATCAGAAGCTAAACTCTGCCTCCTCCCCTAATCACCATATTTTCACTTGGTATGGAGCTATAGGATAAAGCAATGGACAGCAAGGTTGGTTTGAACTGAAAGGCCGTTGGTTCAAACCCACCAGCCACTCTTTGGAAACCCTATACAGGGTCACTATGAGTCAGAACTGACTCAATGGCATTTAATAACAACAAACATTCTTGTAGCACTGCAGGATAATGTACTGGACCAAAAGGTCAGTTTGAACTGCAAGGTTGATGGTTTAAATTCACCAATCGCTCCTCAGAAATCCTATACAGGGTTGCTATGGGTCTTGGCATAGATGAATGAACACCTCCAATGCTGCATCAGTTTGTTGGAAATTTATAGTTTGCATTCCGCCAATTCCTGAAGCCTTGTTTTTCACCAATGCCATCAGTGCCGCTTGGACTTTTTCAGTACTATTGGCTCTTGATTATAGTTGAACATTGACCAATTCTTTTTTGTACAGTGTTCTGTGTATTCCTTCCATCATCTTTTGATGCTTTCTGCATCATTCACTATTTTGCCCATGGTGGTGGTTGTGGTGGTGTGCCGTGGAGTTGGTTCTGACTCAGAGTGACCCTGTACAGGGTTTCTAAGGCTGTAAATCTTTTCAGAAGCAGCAGAAAGCCTCATCTTTCTCCTGCAGTTTCAAACTGCTGACCATGAGAATAACAGCCCAATCCTTCAATATTGCAAGTCAAGGTTGGAATTTTTTCTTCGTCTCTTTTTTTCAGCTTGAGAAATGCTGAATGTATTCTTCCCTTTTGATTTTCTAACTTCAGGTCTTTGCACATTTCATTATATTATATTTGACTTTGTCTCCTTGAGCTACCCTTTGAAATTTTCTGTTCAGCTCTTTTACCTTCTCATCTTCCATTTGCTTTAGCTTCTCTACACTCAAGAGTAAGTTTCAGAGTCTTTTCTGACATCCATTTTGGTCTTTGCTTTCTTTCCTGTCTTTTAAATGACCTTTTGCTTTCTTCATGTATGATGTTCTTGATGTCATCCCACAACTTTTCTGGTCTTCATTAGTTTCTAATGCATCTAATCTGTTCTTGAGATAGTCTCTAAATGCAGGTGGTATATATTCAAGGTCATATTTTGCCTCTCTTAAACTTGTTTTAATTTTCTTCAGCTTCAGTCCAAACTTGCATATGAGCAATTGATGGTCTGTTCCACAGTCTGCCCCTGACCTTATTTTTTTTTCTTAATGTTTTATTGTGAATTATGTGATAGTTTACATGGGAGAACATTAGTTTTACATTCATCCTATAGTATATCATTTCATTGCTATGGTTACAATCCCCTCCATACATCATCAACCATCCAAAGGGTATACACTACAAACATGCCCCCCCGGTCATCAGCACACAGCCCCTCTCCCTCTCTGTGTCTAAAGTCCCAACAGCTCCATCTCTCCATGTCATCGTCTCTGCTTCCATCTCAGGCATCACTGTTTCTCTGGGTAGGGTCCCACTCTCCGTTCTTCTCCCTTGATGGTCCCAGGGACCTCCGCTCTTAGGCTGAAAAGTCAATCACTCCCTTCCTTGCTAAAAAAGTCTACGTTTACAATTCCATCTCTCACAAGCAGTCCAGATAACAAATATTCACTATTGTATCACAAGAGATCCATCTGGATTTCATTTTATCAGCCCCACCTAGACAGATTTTATACTACTCAGTGGAGATTCTACCTTCTTCCATGCCCTATGAATCTAGCTTCCCTCTTAAAAGCTTGTCAGCCAGTCACTTCTTGCCTTTGTAACCTCCCCACCCCCCACGACCTTATTTTGCCTGAGGAGTCCTGGTGTGGCATTGTGGGATAAAGCACTGGACCACAAGGTCAGTTTGAACCACAAGGTTGGTGGTTTAAACTCACCAGCCACTCCTTGGAAACCAAAACCCTATACAGGGTCTCTGTGAGTTGGAACCAACTCGATGGCACTTAACAATAACAACTGAGCTTTTCTGCTGTCCCTTCCCACAGATGTAGTCAATTTGATTCCTGTGCATTCCATCTTTGTTAGGTCCGTGTGTCTAATTGCCATATATATATATATATATATATAAAATTGCCTTTTATGTTTTTTTAAAAAGGTATTTGCAACTAATAAGCTGTTGGTCTTGCAAAATTCAATCATGCAATCTATCACCAAAACCATATTTTCTAATTACTGATCTTTCCTCTTTGTTTACAACCCATATGTCTCAATTACCAATAATTACCAATGCATCTCATTACATGTGAGATCAATTTCATACTGAAGAAGTTGGTAGAATTCTTCAATTTCATCATCACTGGCTTTAGTGGTTGGTGCATAAATTTAAATAATTGTGGTATTAACTTGTCTTACTTGTAGGCATATGGATATTACCCTATTACAGACAGCACTGTACTTCAAGAAAGATCTTGAAGTGTTCTTTTTGACAATGAATGTGACACCATTCCTCTTGATTTTGTCATCCCCAACATAGTATACCATACCATACGTCTGATTAAAAATGGCCAATGCCAGTCCATTTCAGCTCACTAATGCCTAGTATATCGACCCTTATGCATTCTACTTCATTTTGACAACTTCCAATTTTCCTAGACTTAGGCTTCATATATTTCAAGTTCCTATTATTAATGAATGTTTGCAGCTGTTTCTCATTTTGAGTTGTGCCCATCAACAAATGAAGGGCCTGAGGAAACATCAGACAACCTGACATCTACACAACAACTGACCTGAATCTTCAGAAGTGTCAAGGTCACGAAAGTCTAGGGAAACATGTGGAAGAGACTCAACAACTAAGTGTAGCACGTGGTTCTGCACTGGGTCCTTTTCCTATAAAGGAGATGCCCGGCACCACTGATGAAACAGTGGGGTCTGAGGGCTAAATAGCACTCATGTGTCATGTCCTGATTTTGACACTTGTATCCTGGCTGTGTAGGAAAATCACACCAGAATAGTCAGGGATGGTGAACTACCAGTTAGCAGTTACTCTCAAATTGTTCAGGGCAAAGATTCTTTGTGCTGTACTTGCAACTTTTCCGAACATTTGTGATTGTTTAAAAAATAAGTGAACAAAAAGGAAATGGACTTAGACTGCTAACCACAGGTTGGCAGTTCAAACCCACTAGCTGCACCGTAGGAGAAAGATGAGGCAGTCTGCTCCTGAACAGATTGCCAGCTTCCAAAAGCCTACACAGGGTTGTTATGAGTCAGAATCCATCACTCATCTGTCAGTTTGTCCTACTGTGGTGGCTTGCATGTTGCTGTGATTCTGGAAACTATGCCATAGGTATTTAAAAAACCATCAGGGTCACCCACGGTGGGCAGTTTTCAGCTGAGCTTTCAGACAAAGACAGACTGGGAAGGAGGAGAGACAGACTATTTCCATATATTTAGTCACTGAAAATCTTATGAGTAACAGTGGAACACTGTCAACACCAGAATATTTAATATTAAAACATGATGAAGGGTAACAGAACACTGTCAGATATAGTGCCAGAAGACGAGCCCCTCAGGTTGGAAGACACTCACAATGCGCCGGGGGAAGAGCTGCCTGCTCAAAGTACTCCTGATGGTGAGAACACAAATGAAGTAAAGGCCTCGGGACCTTCATTTACTGATGAAACACTACTGAAAATGAAGAGAAACGGCTGTAATAATTACTAATCAGAATATAGAGTGTGCGAAGTATGAATCTAGGAAAATGGGAAATTGTCAAAATTGAAATGGAATGCGTAAACATTGATATCCTAGGCATTAGGAATCTGAAATGGACTTGTATTGGCCATTTTGAATCTGACAATCACATGGTTTACTATGCTGGGAATGACAAACTGAGGAATAGCATTGTATTCATCATCAAAAAGAACATATCAAGATCTGTCTTGAAGTACAACGCTGTCTGTGATAGACCAGTTAATACCCCTATTATTCACATTTACCAACCAATGAGCCGGAAGGGAGGGACTTGATGGTGGATTGGTTGGGTATACAGCCTCAGGCCTAAAGGACCTAGCCACCTGCTGCAGGAGATATTCCTTTCTTTGGCACCTTGGCTGCTTTCTGGAGCAAGAAAGAAATTTAACCCGGCTTCACTATCTGTGCAGAGTGTGCAGGCTGGACCACCGGCTAAGGACTCTACTAGGTAGAGTGGTTACAATCAGGCTGAGAACCTCAAGGTCGGCAGTTTGAAACTACCAGCTGTTCCGCGGGAGAAAGATAAGGCTTTCTGCTCCCGTAAAGATTTACAACCTCGGAAACCCTATGCAGGGTCACTATGAGTCAGTATCGACTCCATGGCACACAACCACCACCATTAGCAAGCCAGAACACCTAAACCTGATCAGTGAGGAAAGTGAAAGTCAGCTTCTCACTAGGTGGCACCCTGGAGCTATCTCTCCCTTGCACTATGCTTGATGCAACATGTGATGGCTCTGGCGGACCTCCAAGAGGGGGCGCGCTACCCCATCTGTCTGTATTACAGATCATCTATAGTAGGCATTCTCTCCTGTGAGCATCTATAAGACATGCTTCCCCGCCTTCTCTGCCATGTTGTTGCCAGCAGTTCAAGAGCAACCCCCCAAGTGGATAATTTGACTTA